TTGAAATTTTGCACATAATTCTGTTTTGCCATCCTGAATCAAAAAGTAAATCAGACCCATGGCTTATTTTTTACTTCATTGCCAAGGCGATGACGAACACTTCCCATTATAAGTCAATGTGAAAATCAAAGAGACACACAATCACAGATCATCGGCATTCATAAAGCAGTGTCGCTCCCATCACGGCTGTAGGAAGATGGCGCGACACCTTTGCAAGGTGCGGCAAGGGCCGTTCGACGCTGCTTGCAGCTTTGATTTTTCTTGGTTTTTTTACCTGAAATGTTGCTGCAGAACAGTGCTCATGGTTTTGCACTGGTCCAGACCAGAGTGGAGAGGATTCATGGTCTGAAAATCCACTGGAGGAGGGCTAACTTTTTGAAAAATGCTAACAAAGCATTTCGCATTTTACTTCGGACCAGAGCAGAGAAAATGGTCCGAAGCAAGCGGCTCCAACTCTGCTGCTTTGACTCGTCCTGCCCCACCCAGAGGCTCCTCCATCTCTGCTGCTGTGATACATCCTGCTCCGCCCAGGTGCTGCACCGCCTCTGTGGCTGTGGCCTGTCCTTCTCCACCCTCAGCTGTTTCTTATTATTACGTAAGTTCTGTTTCTTATTGAAGTGCTGTGTCTTATTATTACTATTGTTAGCTTCTTAGAATGATTAATTTTTGCTGCTACCGGATACCTGAATTTTTTCTACGGGATCTATCTATCACTAAATATATACACAAAATGGCTATAATTTCACAAGTTTTGAGTGTTGTATGGTGTAGCACCCAAATTATTATCACACATGTAGGCCTGTTTTAGACTGAATATCATTAACTTTCGTTCCATCATCATTGGGACATACTGTTTTTCAACGTTTTCTGAAAGCTTGTAAGAATATGAACCCAATCTGAAGTTTCCATACGAAGAATTTTTGTTTCATTTTTGCTAGCACCAACTGAAATTTGAAATGTTTATCTCGTAAAGTCTCGAAAATCCGGATTTCTTGGATATGATGTCAGTGATGTGTTTGTCAACAAAGATGGTGGCCCCCAGTTGCAAGAGGCAGCCATGGATGTATTATATTAACTGGATAGGGTATTACAGGGGTGCTCACACTTTTTCAGCATGCGAGCTACTTATAAAAGGATCAAGTCAAAATGATCTACCTACTACAAAAATGCAAATCATATATTTCAAAAAATATTCTTTATATCTACAATGTATGTTTATGTACATGCAAAACTGCATGAGCCAATATAGCACAACACAACACAATTACCTATGTACATTTTTTGTCATTACCCGAGTTTACTCTTATGACTTGCACTGAATTGAATCGGCCAGGGATGCATAGTCCGGAAAATTGGTGGTAACTCGCTGACAAGTTTGTCGTGGTTTAGCTTTCCTGCACTGAGCCGTTAATATAATACATCCATGCACTGAGCGCGGTTGTTTGCGCATGTGCAGTCACCTAAGTGTCAGTAAAACATTACTGAGTAAAACACAGATGTCATTTGACTGTGGTGCCATGTCCATGTGCCATGCCTGTTTTTTTTAAATCCAAATATTTCCCCTCCTCAGTTTATAAAATAATTTGCATCCACACATCTGCGTTATCAATCACATTCGTAACATTCCAAACATGTGCGTCTCTTACGTCCTGTCCTGCGTTGGGGAAAAACACAGAAGTGGGCGGAGTTCTGATGCAGACGCCGGTAACGGCACTTTTGCAGTCATAGAAGACACTCAGAGTAAAGAGTAAGACGTATGTTTACAAGCACTGACCGCGTCCTCAGCCCTGGTTTAGTCCTGGTTTAGTGGTTGTTTTCGAGCGTGAGTCCCCGCGATCACTTTGCTGCTCTCTGATGTGGAGCGAGGATGTTCGCTGCTGCGAGCATCTCACAGCAAACAGTTTTTAAGGTAGTATGATCCATGCTTCAGTGATCAGAGGAATTTAGGGGGGTACTGTGGCGTGCGAGAACGCAAAACTCTGGTTATCTCTGTCTACACACAAATGCATTAACGGAGTTTTCAAAAATCTCCACTTTGCCCGGAGTTTTTTGTATATATTCGTTTAGAATGTGTAATTTTTTATTTATTTAATGCGATCTACCAATACTACCTTTGCGATCGACTGGTAGATCGCGATCGACGTATTGAGCACCCCTGGGCTATTACTAGCTTGTAGCTGAATAACTCACGTGCTCAGGGGATTCTCGCGGTACTGCAGACTGAACCAGACTAAATTCACGTGGGCTACCCAGAAATTTTCCCCATAGAACTCAATGCATATTAAAACAGCTCAACCTCAGCTGACAGAGAACCTACAGCTTTAATAAAGATCGGATTTTGTGGGGATTTTAGTGTCCCTTGTCATCCTGAACTTTTTTTCTTCTTAAATCCTTCGGTTTTGTTTAAATCCACACTTTAGTGCCACAAACTCTGCTCCTCTGGCTCTCGCTCTAACTCCCGCTCTGATGAACTGCTCTGATTGGTCAGAGCGCGGCCGAGCCCCTCTGTGCACGTGCGTGAGACCCGGTGTGAGACCCACACACGCGTGTTTGGCGCAACGCATTATGGGAGATCATCCACTGCGCAGAACCGGGAGGACCAGACGATGCCCAAATACAGGCGAGTTTCCCATAGATCTTTGCGAGTTTCAGGCAACTTCCGCTAATCTTTCAGCCCCCATGCTGTCACAAAGCGCCACTGAGCACAACCATTCATTTGAATAGGGCGCCATCTTGGATCGCCGGGGCTTGGAGGCAGCGTGGGTCTGAAGAAACAGGGTGTTGTATGCATATATTGGATAACTGTCGTGAATAAAAAAGTGTAATAACTAAAATTGCAAAAGAGTGTTGTTACTGCATGGCTAAGAGGGAGATGCTATTAAACCGCTATCACAACTCTTTGATGTTGAATACGCCTAGAGACTACATCCTGTTAGAGTTTCACGGACAACGTCAGCAACATGATATGCAATGAACAAAGAATGACTGCATGGCATGGTCATGGCAAGGTCAGCATGGTCAGTATGGTCAGTCAGTGATTATCATAGTAATGTACAGTGCCTTGCGAAAGTATTCGGCCCCCTTGAACCTTTCGCCACATTTCAGGCTTCAAACATAAAGATATAAAATTTTATTTTTTTTGTCATGAATCAACAACAAGTGGGACACAATCGTGAAGTGGAACGAAATTTATTGGATAATTTAAACTTTTTTAACAAATAAATTATTTGATTAAATTACTTTCAGTGCAGCAAACTCACTCCAGAAGTTCAGTTGTAACAATTTGCCTACCTTTTCAAGACACCAGAGCTACAACGCTTTAAAAGGGTCGCAAGAGGAGATGTCACATCAGCGGGGTGAAATAAGCACAGATACAGAACATGCATTTGGCTCAAGACTGGCTATTTATTACTGATCCCAGTCTATCACTAATACGCAAACACCCCCACGCTCGAGCGCGACCCCACACAACAAAACATAATATGATCACAAACAGCCAACTGTGGCGCTCTCAATATGTGGAAACAAAAAAGAAAGAGTTAGTGTCAGTGGTGAAGCCACGGTGTACTCACGGCCCCGCGCATGCACCACGGTTCAAAAAAACGGGTCCTGGAGCCCAGCGCGACCATGGAGAGATAATCCACAGAGTCTCGTTAGTCCCTCTGCACACGGTAATCCAAAAAGTCACGGTAATCCAAAAGAACGATACTCCCACAGAGATTATAATCCGCAAAAACTCCAGGTAAAGGTGCTGGCCTAGCTCCAAGTCGGCGTCTGACGTCAGAACACGCGCGCCCCCGCGCCCGTGCCCGTCACTCCTAAATAGAGTCTCCAAGCACGCCACCAATGGCAAAAACAATAATAGCACCAGTACCTGGAGACTTATGAAACAAACCACAAAACAGACCTGGTACACAAAATTGGTTGAAAAATACAGAATGTCACCCCTCCTGAGTGAACACTAAGGTAAGGACCTATGCGGGCGTTACATTCCCCCCCCCCAATGTAAACGGGTCCAAAAAAGGGTTTTATGTCTACCACGTTTATAGAATCCACCTTCTTCTTATCGGACAACCAACGGATTTGGTAATTTACAGGTCCCAAGCTTTTCTCTACCCTAGCCGGCCCTAACCACTTGGGTGCAAGTTTGGCAGAGAATCTTGCAGAAGCTTTGGACAACGGATGTGACCTAACCCAGACCAGACTACCGACAGCAAAGTGTACATCCCTGAGTCGTGCATTATAGTATCTGGCTTGTCTGGCTTTGGACGCGCCAACGTGTCTCGCAACCTCCTCCCTTAACTGAGTGTGTGTTTGAAGAGTCTGGTATGCGGGTGTATGTGGAGCAGGAGCTCTGTGAACAAGTCTCTCAAGTGGCCCCAGAAGCTCTCGACCCAGAGTCAACATGGCAGGTGTCACGCCTGTGGTCTCATGTACCGCAGTGTTAAGAGCCAACCGAAACTCAGGCAGCCACCTGTCCCAGTCTTGGTGCTGGTTCCCAACATAAGAGGCAATCATGGTCTTGAGGGTGCGATTAACTCTCTCTGTCATGTTGTTTTGGGGGTGATAGGCTGTGGTGAGTTTTTGGGTGACGCCCCAGGTTTCACACAGTTGGGCCAACAGATGGCTTGTGAACTGAGGGCCTCGGTCAGACACCATCAACTTCGGAACGCCCCAGCGGGTAAAAATCTCATTTTTCAGGACCTTGCAAACTTTGGGGGTTTTGGCATCCTTCAAAGCAAACAACTCGACCCATCCGCTGTAGTAGTCCACAACTACCATTAGCACAGAGTTGCGGTCTTTGCTGAGTGGGAATGGTCCCATGAAGTCCACACCGATCATTTCCCCCGGAACCTGGACCTCAGTAGACTGCAGGAGCCCGGCCGGCTTTCCAAGGGAACATTTGTACTGCTGGCAGATTGTGCACGTACGGACGTGTTGCCAGACGTCTTTGCGGACAGATGGCCACCAGGCCACCTGGAGGATCTTCAAAAGGGTTTTCATCCTGCCCAGATGTCCACCAAATGGACTGTGGTGATAGTACAACAGGAACTGGGGCACCAACGCGGCCGGAACCACCACTTGGTAATTAAAACCTCCATACTTGGAAGGTACTCTTCTGTACCACACGTCCTGTTGGAGTTGGTAATGGATGCGACCCGGGCTTGCTTGGCGGTCAGACGGCCCGAGCTCTTGACAGGAAGGGTCCGCCTCTTGGGCCTTAGCAATCTCCTGCAGGGAACAAGGGATGTCTGACCAATATGTTTTTGGCACAGTCAGGCAACCCTGTCCAGCTTGGGGAATGGGGGCACGTGAGAGGGCATCAGGGACCACGTTGCAGCATCCTTTTTTGTAGTGGACTCTGAAGGTAAACGCTTGAAGACGTAATGTCCAGCGGGTGAGGCGTGAGGATGTCTTGGGGCAGTTGAACGCCCAGGCCAGGGCACTGTGGTCAGTGTACACGTCAAATGTGGTGCCCTCAAGGAAGTGCTTCCACTTTTCTATTGCCCACACGACTGCCAAGCATTCTTTCTCAGCGGTGGAATATCGGACCTCGGCGCCCTGGAGAGCTCGGGATGCAAACGCCACAGGACGCTCCTCACCGTCAATTTCTTGTGTGAGAATGGCTCCCAATCCCACATCATTGGCATCACAGTGGACTTGGAAACCGAGCTGAGGTTGTGGCTGGGCTAGGACTGGTGGTGATTGAACCAGGACCTTGAGTCGGTCGAAGGCAGCCTGACACTCCGCAGACCACTCCCATTGCACATCTTTTTTTTTTAGATGGTTCAGGGGTGCAGCAATGTCAGCGAATCGCGGAGTGAACTTGTGGTACCATCCGACCATACACAGGAGTCGTTGGAGACCTTTTATCTCTGTCGGTGGAGGGAACTCCATGATAGCCGACACCTTGGTGGGATCCACCTCTACTCCCTTTTCTGAGACAAGGTGGCCGAGAAAGGTGAGCTGGCGCTGAAACAAACAGCATTTTTTTACGTTGAGCGTCAGGTTTGCATGGTGGAGCTTGGCAAACACTGCATCGAGGTCATGGAGGTGCTGTTCTTCAGTTTTGGAAAAGACTATAAGGTCGTCAATGTATACGAAACAGACTTTTCCCCTCAACTCGCCTAGGACGATCTCCATCAGTCGCTGGAACGTAGCCCCAGCGTTACGCAGACCGAAAGGCATGACCTTAAACTGAAACAAGCCCAGATGGGTGGTCATGGCTGTTTTGAGCTTGCTCTCATCGTCCATAGCAACCTGCCAGTACCCGCTTTTTAAATCAAGGGAGCTAAAGTACTGAGCGCCTTCCAGGGACTCTAGAATCTCATGAATCAGGGGCATGGGATACGCATCATGCCTCGTCTTTTCATTTAGGCCCCTGTAGTCCACGCAGAATCGTGGAGTTCCATCCTTTCTCGGAGTGAGGACCACTGGAGAGGACCATGGGGATGCGGATGGCTCGATGACACCATTGTCAAGCTTTTTTTGGACTTGTTCTTCGATAACAGCTTGCTTATGGGCCGATACTCTGTAGGCCCTTTTCCGCACTGGTACTTCATCGGTGGTTATTATCTTGTGCTTTATAACTTGTGTGGCTCCAGTAGCCTCAGTCCAGACATTGGACCACTTCTGCAGCAGTGGCCGCACCACCTCTGGCTGAGCCTGCAGGAGGGGAATGACAGTGTGGGTTTGTTCGGCAACGTAAAAGTTCACTGAAGGTGGCTTGTGACTCCAGTGCAGCGTTGCTCTTACTTTGTGGAGAAACGAGTACTCTTTGCCACCCGGCATTATGTAACGTCTACAATGTGGCTTCAGAGTTATTTGGCACATGGACATAAAGTCGAGTCCCAAGAGAAGTGGCATGCAGAGGTTGTCGTCAGCAAGAACGTGGACTCCGAGCATGCCATGGAAATCGTGGAGACGAAAGAGCAAGGTGGCTTTCCCAAGAGCCTTGTTCTCTTGACCATTGGCCATTACGAACTTTGGGATTTCACTCGACGCTAGAATCTCTCCGTCCTTCTTGATGGCCTTCCATAGTGAGTGGCTCATGAGGGGGTAGGTGCATCCCGAATCAAGTACCGCATCGCCTTTGGAACCGCGAAGGTAGACCGGCACGACAAGGAGACACCATTATGTACACCACTATGTGGACACCATCCACATACTTTTTGAATTCTCCTGCCATCACATCCATTGCCGCTCTTAGCCCCTCCTCTCTGCTCAGAGCTAGGGATGTACCGATACAGATTTTTTACATTCCGATCCGATTCCGATATTCTAAAATATTGTTTGCCGATACCGATACGATACCGATCCGATACTGATCCAATCCAATATTTTCAGAGCATTAAAAATTTTGCAACCAGTATTACTTTTAAAATGTTTTTATTATAACATGACCAAAAATATTGCTTGTTTTTTTCTTAACATAACTTTTGAGTTTGGTTATAAGAATCAAATCAGTATTAAATATTACACCTTTATCATAACATTAAAATAAATATCAAAGAGGAACAATTATCAAAAAGCTGCCCTCCACATTCAGTATAACAAAAAGAAAATAGCTGGTACATAACTGAATGACCACAAAAAGCCAGTACTTAACCAGTGTGTAAACTGCAAATGTAAACTCTGATAGCAAAAATAATGAAATACAACAAGGCATTTGTGCTACTTTTAACCTTAAATAATATCAAAACAATAATAAAAAAAATAGAGGAAGGTACTCCTTTTAAGTGCTGGTGTAGCAGCAGCCACAATACAAAATAAAAAGGGGAGTTTTACTCCCTAAAGAACACAAAAACAAAACTGATAAACGGATTTAAATAAATTCAGAATAAACTGATTAACACTCAACAAAGTGAAAATTCTTTTTGATAAAGTCAAGCTTCTCTGTTAATTCAGCAGATAAACGGTTTCGCTTCTCATCCATTATATTTGAGGTAGCACTGAAAAGTCGTTCACTGTCCACACTTGTGCATGGTGCACAGAGAAACTTTGTAGCAAGAACTGCCAATGAGGGACTGTGTGTAGCATTTGATCTCCAGTACTTTAATGGACTGTCTGACCTGAGAATGGTTGGTTCTGAGAGGTAGTTCTGCACCTCTGAAACGGCCGAGGATGAGGTTGTTGCTCTGGTTTCTACTTCTCTCTCCTCCAGTATCTCTTCGAAGATGCTTCCTAGTTTGCTGCTGGCTGCTGCAGGACTTTCACGTGGGGCTTTTCTCACTGGCTCTTCATTTATCGGCTCGCTGCTGTTGGCTTTGCCTATTTCATCAACCATCTGAAGGAGGGAGTCCTTGGCATGCTTCAGATTGTCTGGACTTGTGAAAAACCTGTAAATAATGAGCTGTATTAAATGACACATTACACAAAAGGTACATAATCACAAAATAACATTACAAAATAACTGAAAAAAGACTTGCCTGTCTTTGTATCTTGCATCCACCAGAGTAGCAATGTAGTAGAGTGGTTCAGTCTCAACATGGGCGAAGCGCCTGTTTACAGCCTCTAGGAGTGTGCTCTTCATTGTCTTGATGCCACTGTCATTCTCTTCTTTGGAGAGAACACGTTTGAGCGCTGTGATGGCAGGTATCACATCAGCACATGTTGCAGTCTCTCCACTTATTGCCCTGGTGACCTCTTCAAATGGTGCCAACACAAACGCAGTCTTCTCGGCCAACATCCACTGGTTTGCAGTGAGAGTAGAGGGAAGGTTGTGCTCACTAGCATATACACTGAGGGGACGTCTTTGCTCTAAGAGACTTTGCAGCATATAGAGAGTGCTATTCCATCTTACTTGAACATCCTGTTTCAGTCGTTTTATTGGCATTTTCAGCTCAGTCTGAATGTCTTCAAGGCGTGAGTAGGCCAAGGGGGAATGTTTAAAGTGACTTACAATTTTGCGTGAAATCACTAAGTGTCACTCACGCTCCGTTGTGATAGTAGACCCTCGTTTACGATAAGGTGAAGAGTGTGGACAAAGCAACCCAGGCTCTGTACTCCCATGTCATCCATGGCTTTACGCATGTTGCTGGCATTATCTCTCAAAATGACATGGACTTTTTGTTTGTCTATGTGCCATCCCTCCAACATTTCGTCGATAGCTTGTCTCACATGTTCAGCCGTATGAGAGCCACGGAACTCGCTGGCGTGCAGTACAACATTTATTAGGTTGTACGTTTTATCAATCCAGTGGGCAGTAAGGCTAAGGAGCGACATTGGGCAGACACCAGAGCTCCATATGTCCGTTGTAAAAGAAATAGCAGTTGCATTGGCCAAAATACTACCAACATGCTCGCGAATCTTACTGTAGAGCTCGGGGACTGCGGTTTGTGAAATGTAGCGTCGAGAAGGGAGTTCGTACCTCGGCTCTAAAAACGTCATCAAACGACAAAATCCCACGTTTTCCACGACAGAAATAGGCTGATCATCCAATGCAATGTATTCAACAACCCTTTGCGTTATTTTCCGTGACTTGTCACTGTTTTGAGGTAATAGTTCATGCCTGCGAAAAGCCTCTGCCAAAGTTTGTTGTTGTGGCTTCGCAGTCTTGTTCTTGTAAAGGTCGTACTCCGCTGCATGGTTCCTTTCCAAGTGACGGATTAAGTTTGTAGTGTTGAAGTGAGCCTTTTTGTTCCCTCCTCGTGAAACTGCTACTTTACAAATATTGCAAGTAGCCGTTTGACTATCACTATTTACCAGTGAAAAATAGTCCCAGATAGCAGACATGTTCGCAATTTATCAACGCGTTTACGACAGCCGTAAAGCGTGAGCATGCTGAAAAGTGACGTAAATTGGCCCGATATTCGTAACAAATCCGATACAATCCGATCCTTACAAAATATCGGATCGGTACATCCCTACTCAGAGCACTGTCCACTGTCTCTTTGAGACGAGTCTCCAGGCCGTCTACGGTCCCCTTTAATGTATTGAGCTCCTCAAACATTCGCTCCATGCCCATGTCATTCCCCGCCTCGTCATTCTCGTCTTCTGGTTCTGCATCGTTTAAATACATGGATTCTAACCAGCTCGTGAGCTCAGACATTCCACTTTGATTTTGTATAAGAGTGACATGATAAGAAGGATGCAGTACTGGTGTGTCATCTACTGCATTCTCCTCTCCTCTGTCCTCATCCAGTATATTCTGGACTGGGTCTGCCATACTTTGTTGGTGTGAATGTGGCTTAATGCGTGAGGGATTTAGGGGAGCCAGGGGACTGTTTCATAAATGAAGCATATGCGTGTGCGCGCGGAAGGTAGTGCGCGTAACCCGTGCGTAAAAGTTTGACACCAACGCCGCTGATGTACAGAAACTTTGCGGTCCTCGTACGGGCCACCAGTCTGTAACAATTTGCCTACCTTTTCAAGACACCAGAGCTACAACGCTTTAAAAGGGTCGCGAGAGGAGATGTCACATCAGCGGGGTGAAATAAGCACAGATACAGAACATGCATTTGGCACAAGACTGGCTATTTATTACTGATCCCAGTCTATCACTAATACGCCAACACCCCCACGCTCGAGCGCGACCCCACACAACAAAACATAATATGATCACAAACAGCCAACTGTGGCGCTCTCAATATGTGGAAACAAAAAAAGAAAGAGTTAGTGTCAGTGGTGAAGCCACGGTGTACTCACGGCCCCGCGCATGCACCACGGTTCACAAAAACGGGTCCTGGAGCCCAGCAGCGACCATGGAGAGATAATCCACAGAGTCTCGTTAGTCTTCTGCACACGGTAATCCAAAAAGTCACGGTAATCCAAAAGAACGATACTCCCACAGAGATTATAATCCGCAAAAACTCAAGGTAAAGGTGCTGGCCTAGCTCCAAGTTGGCGTCTGACGTCAGAACACGCGCGCCCCCGCGCCCGTGCCCGTCACTCCTAAATAGAGTCTCCAAGCACGCCACCAATGGCAAAAACAATAATAGCACCAGTACCTGGAGCCTTATGAAACAAACCACAAAACAGACCTGGTACACAAAATTGGTTGAAAAATACAGAATGTCACCCCTCCTGAGTGAACACTAAGGTAAGGACCTATGCGGGCGTTACACAGTGAGGATCTTTGAATGATCCGATGTTGACCAAGTCTCCGTATAAATGCACCTGCTCTTTGATAGTCTCAGGGTTCTGTTTAAAGCGCAGAGAGAACCATGAAGACAAAGGAACACACCAGGCAGGTGTGGAGAAGTTTAAAAGCCGGATTTGGATACAAAAAGATTTCCCAAGCTTTAAACATCTCAAGGAGCACTGTGCAAGCAATTATATTGAAATGGAAGGAGTATCAGACCACTGCAAATCTACCAAGACCCGGCCGTCCCTCCAAACTTTCATCTCAAACAAGGAGAAGACTGATCAGAGATGCAGCCAAGAGGCCCATGATCACTCTGGATGAACTGCAGATAACTACAGCTGAGGTGGGAGAGTCTGTCCATAGGACAACAATCAGTCGTGCACTGCACAAATCTGGCCTTTATGGAAGAGTGGCAAGAAGAAAGCCATTTCTCAAAGATATCCATAAAAAGTCTCGTTTAAAGTTTGCCTCAAGCCACCTGGGAGACACACCCAGCCTGTCCGTCCGGAGGAGCGGATCCCTTTCTCATATGGGTCTCCCTCCCTGTGGGTTTCCCTAGTTCTCCTCCAAGGTTTCTCACTTTTTCCCACTGGGTTTTTTAAGAGTTTTTCCTTGTCGATGCAGGAGGGTCTTGTTGGACAGTTAGTGTCCAACAGAAAGGATTGGTGATGATCAGGACACTTTAGCATTCTACAACATGTATGGACATTTTCTTCTGTGTGTGCTTTATACTGTATTCTTCATGTGTTTTAACTGTTGATTCTCTGACCTGTGTTGGTGATTTCAATGGTTTTGTTAAGTCCTCTGAGATGACTTCTGTTGTGACCTAGGGCTATACAAGAATAAATTGTATTGTGTATTGTATTGTGTACACCAAATATGTGGAAGAAGGTGCTCTGGTCAGATGGAAGCAAAATCAAACTTTTTGGCCACAATGCAAAACGATATGTTTGGCGTAAAAGCAACACAGCTCATCACCCTGAACACACCATCCCCACTGTCAAACATCGTGGTGGCAGCATCATGGTTTGGGCCTGCTTTTCTTCAGCAGGGACAGGGAAGATGGCTAAAATTGATGGGAAGATGGATGGAGCCAAATACAAGACCATTCTGGAAGAAAACCTGTTGGAGTCTGCAAAAGACCTGAGACTGGGACGGAGATTTATCTTCCAACAGGACAATGATCCAAAACATGAAGCCAAATCTACAATGGAATGGTTCACAAATAGACGTATCCAGGTGTTAGAATGGCCAAGTCAAAGTCCAGACCTGAATCCAATCGAGAATCTGTGGAAAGAGCTGAGAACTGCTGTTCACAAACGCTCTCCATCCAACCTCACTGAGTTTGAGCTGTTTTGCAAGGAAGAATGGGCAAGAATTCCAGTCTCTTGATGTGCAAAACTGATAGAGACATACCCCAAGCGACTTGCAGCTGTAATTGCAGCAAAAGGTGGCGCTACAAAGTATTAGCGCAAGGGGGCCGAATAATATTGCACGCCCCACTTTTCAGTTTTTTATTTGTTAAAAAAGTTTAAATGATCCAATACATTTCGTTCCACTTCACGATTGTGTCCCACTTGTTGTTGATTCTTGACAAAAAATTTAATTTTTATATCTTTATGTTTGAAGCCTGAAATGTGGCGAAATGTTGAAAGGTTCAAGGGGGCCAAATACTTTCGCAAGGCACTGTATAATTTGGAATGATATGATTAATGTATAGTCATTGTTGTCATAAATGGCTTAAACAGAAATGTTTTGAGGGGTGCGTCTGCAAGGGAAATGAATTTTAATGCCAAATCAAGTAAAGGTACATAGATTGACCAAAATATTTTTCATTTTGTTTTTAAATTTCTCATAAGGTAGGCCTAAGGCACGAAATTGGATGACAATATGGTTGTTAGGCTACACAACGGGAAAAGTATTTTTATTTTTGGAGGGCTAGCTACTCCAAGGAGATGGGGACCGCACCCAGCACACTACCCCCGAACCTCTTTATGCCCATGTTTATAGCATTTGTCTATCAATATTTCAATGTTTAAATATACTTATAAAATGAAGAGCCTGCTTGATCAGCCTACCGGCATTTAGAAGGTGCATGTAAAGTGGAAGAAATATCTGGCGAGTGGTCTAAACAAGGAAAATGTTATCACATTCCTCGGCAGTTGTTGGAGAACTCTCTGCTACCAATCTGTCACAGAGGACCACAGAGGAGTTTTTTTTTTCCCATACGGGAATGCCAGGCAGTGATCATCCGGGAAGTTCCTAAGCGACGCTAGAGTTGAACTTTTTGGACAAATTCGCGAGCGTCGACCAATCGGAAGCTTTGTCCAACAGTGACATAGTGACGCATTTCACGACAGGACCGACGGGGAAGACAGGAAGACAACAAATCAGCTATAGAGGACGAGCTGTGCTCGTCCAGACCTGTATAGCCCCGCGGACTATAACTACTTCCGTGACAGAAATGGAGGAGGCTTAGTGAGGAGGTTGGTGTCTCGGGTAAGTTATTTAAACTTTTCACAATCGTTAATACTTCCCCACGCAAAATCTGTAATGTTATCTTTAGGGAGAAACAAACCCACAGATTACATATTCAAGCTACACTGAGGAAACAGTCAGCTTTTCATGGAAAAAGTCCATGGAGACAGCAGCTATAGTATGCTAACACGTGTTATCTGTATTAATATAAAATAGATTGTGTATATAATTTTTAATCCCATACTGAGACTGGGAATACTGTATATTTATTTACATTTACTGTATATATTAGGTTTATGATGACGCACTTTTCATAGAATAGTCTGATAAATATACGTATGATATAAAAGCACATTATACAGATGTTTATTTTGTCATTAAAGACATTTGCCGATGACAGTCTCACTTCCACAGCAACAGGTTTAAAACGGTTGGTTATTTGTGTGTATTTTTCTATTATATTATTCTTATGTTACTCCTCAGTGTCTGTTTCTCCTGCTGTGAAAGATTGTACCTCTAATATTAAATAAAATAATCAGCTATCCACTTGGCTGAGTGGATTGCACTCTTGCCTCTTAGCAAGAAGAGTTCAAATCCCAGTCGGAACGGGGTCTTTCTGAGTGGAGTTTGCATGTTCACCCTGTGCTTGCGTAGGTTTCCTCCGGGTGCTCCGGTTTCCCCTACCACTAAAAACATGCACACTAGGTTAAATCCTCCAGCAAAAATTAAACAGATTTAGAGCCAGCCAATGGCTGACATTATGCATTTCAGACTTTTTGACCAATTCTCATCCCTGTAACAAACAATAGTGTTGTCTGCGTCCACCTCCATCACTCTGAGACATGTTTATTACTCTCTTGTAATGTAGACTATTGCACTTTATTTTTTTGTTGAAACTGTAGACATCCTGATCCTCTACAGTATTTGCTTCCACATACTGTATAAACCAGGGGTCGGCAACCTTTAGTGCTCCTCCAGTGGCTCCTGGAGCCTTTTCAAAAATGTCTGAAAATGGAGTGTGAGGGCTATATTTTATTCCTAATTTGAATGTGGTTTCTGTAGGAGGAAAAACATTCCTAACGTATTTCAATGCTGTAAAAATGTGTATAAGTAATATTAAATTTCAACATTTCTGTCAACGTAGTGAGTCATATCTTGTGGCGCGGCCCCGCGGCAGACGGCCGCTGCTGTAAACAAACCGGCGTGTGCGCACGGATCCCAAAGATAAAAAGAGAACGAGTCGATAATAAGACTGGACTAAGAACAAGACTGAACATTTGCTTTCAGTCAATGAGGAAGGACTGCTTCATGTTTGCGATGTAATAGGAAGTTTTGTTGCAACACGAGGAACAATGAAGCACTAAATACCGTTCACGGTGATTACGTGAAGGATTCTTTCATACAAAATCCGGAGCACCTTTTTCAGACTTCAAAAACCTCCGCAAAGACTGTGAAAG